CTCCGGGACCGGGTCTGCTGCTGAGGGGGCCGGCAGCTTTGTGAACCCTGAACCGCTCACGCAGCCCGCTTCCCCGGCCGGAGCCCCTCTTACCTCTCCGCTCACTTCTCCCACCCGGGACGGGGAGACATTCCTTTCTTCCTTGAAGGACGGAGGCGGCACCTCCGCTTCCAGTTCTTTTTTTTCCCAAAAGAAAACTTCGAAAACTTCGTCGTTCCTCCGCACGAGTCTCCACGCGTCTGCGGAGCGAAGCAGGCCGAAAAGTTCAGCTATTTCCCAGCGAAGTCGCTTTTCGAAAGTTTGAGGAGAAGAAGTAACGTACCAGAGAGGAACAGGAACTCCCTCCAGCTTGGCCCGCAGCGTGAGGAATTTCCAGCCCCCTCCTCCTACATCTAATGGAAACTGGATGAAATGTTCTGTTTTTTTCATCCAGGCCCGGAAATCCCTCCTCCTTCCTACGTTAGTATGTTAATTCTTTTCAAAGTCATGGCACGCTGAGCTGGGGGAGCCCCGTCTGCTCCAGCTGAAATGCAGCAGAAAGCACAGCGACAGTTTGAACCCCAGGTAGAAAAGAAGGGACAGAAAGCAGCTCCAAGCCCTGGCATGCAGATCTGATTCTGCAGAGTCCAGCCTAACCCCCCCTCTACAACTCCAAACAGCCCCCAAAAGGAGCTGATGCAGTCTGAAGTTCTCTAAAAGGACAAAGAGGCTTTGTGACTCCTGATCTCTCAGCTACCTTCAAGTGCTGTCGATCTGTGGGAAACTCAAGAGTCAGTGGGTGTGGCGACTAAAAGGCCTGCCAGAGTTTTTGTTCAGTCTGTATTACTGCTGGTAGCTCTGCATTAAACAGGAGCTCCACCTGGAATCCTCCCATGTTCCTGAACACGCTCCAGCATCACAGTGAACCACTACAGACACCATGTCAGAGCTGGGATGGCTACAGACAGACACCATGTCAGAGCTGGGATGGCTACAGACACCATGTCAGAGCTGGGATGGCTACAGACACCATGTCAGAGCTGGGATGGCTACAGACACCATGTCAGAGCTGGGATGGCTACAGACAGACACCATGTCAGAGCTGGGATGGCTACAGACAGACACCATGTCAGAGCTGGGATGGCTACAGACAGACACCATGTCAGAGCTGTGCTCTGGCTCAGAGCTAGCTCGCGGCTGTGGGTCGTGCTGTAGTTTGGGTCTCTGGTGGGGCTGTGCACCTTGCAAAGTTTCTGTGAAGTAGGAGTTGCAACAACTTCTTGTTCATTTGAACTGTTTGGTCTCAGTGATGCCTGGTGCTTCCACCACTCCCATTCTCAGGGATTAGACCAGCCCCCAGTTGTCAATACTCCAGAATCTTCTCCATTAGTACTTCCAGTCAACAGTGTATCACTCTGATGACTAGAGTTACAGTACCAACAAGGAATTGGATACACAGTGCATAGTCAGTTAAGATCTTGATTTCTGTGCGAGACATAATGTGTTTTATAGTCTTCCATGGCTAAGTTGTTTGGCAGTGTCTCGTGTCTCAGCCATGGGGAGCATTACTGCACCCCGGAAACTCCAATAGCTGGCTCAGCTTCACTCCATCTTAACTTGACATCATGCATGACTAATCTAAGTCTCTCCCTCCTTGGCATAAACAACGTATTATTCAATTCAGCAAATGTTTATTTTCACATGTGTAGTTTTAATTTGTATTTACATACAATCTGTACATAAAAATGGTCAGTGAGTAAACTCATTACTATTCTGTATAGATTTATTCTGGAGTATTTTTTTTCTAATAAATACGCTTTGAAGAAATTATTAAAATACAATTCACTTTTGAGACTAAAACTTCCAGAGAAAATATTTCATCATTTAAAATGGGTTAGGATGTGCATATGAAAATGGAATGTGATGCTAAGACAGACCTTATTTTCATCAGTCTCTGCAAATGAACACTAAATGCGTTGAGGAAAACAAATCATTTCTGAACAAGTGGTGTCTTTCCTTTCTTCTGTGTGGTGTAACTGTGGGTGTGGTGGTGGAGCTGTGATGGTGGGGTGCCCTGTCCAGGGTGTAATCTGGGTGAGGGTTAAATGTCAAACTGCAGGATATTTTGTTGATAAGAAATTACCAAGTCATTCCCAGCACTTATCTAAAAAAAGGCTGGTATTTTAGGCCAAGAAATGATAAACCCATATAAAAAATGGAGGGAGGACTGGAGCCTTCCTCCTCTGTGCTTAAACCTCCTAATACGGTGTCTCTGTGTAACCGGGTTTCTCCAGACCTGGCTGCTCATACGTCCTGGTCCTGTCCCAGGCCGCTGGCTCTCACACCCCCTCCAGCGCCGTGGCGACGCCTCTCAGAGTCCGTGTGGTCATTTGGTTCTGTTGGCGAGGCACACAGTTCTAGTCCCATTGAAGGATACTGCTCCTCCAGTTCACAAACAGCATAAAATCAGCATGTCTCAGATTGTTTTTTATTCTTTGCTGTTTTGGTTTACAAAGAAAAGAGGTGGAGTCCGGTCAGAGGGGCTAGTGTCCTGACCCAAGGAGGCTGGATGCTGTAAGAACAGGGACATTCAATTCATAATCTTGTACTAGGAAGACTTTGTTTTTTGTAAATACTAGAAAAATAAAAAAGTCAGCATTCTCCATTTACTGCCGGCAGTTTCACTGCATGTTTAACACGCCGGTGGCCTCAAGTTTGTTCTCAGTCAAACATGTCCATTCCTCTGCTCACATCTGAAAGCTATGAGTGGTGGGGCTCTCCGGACATCAGCCATGGACAAACACACGCCTTCTTCCCCCCGCCTCTCTGCAGGAGTTGTTTTGGGATTTGGATTTCTGGTGGCAGCAGACAGAAAACAGCCAAATGGAGCTGGTGGTGCTGCTACAGCTCCAGCTGGCTGCATCATGTCCTCCATGTTGGGTGGTCCCCTGCAGAGCAGCAGAAAAGAGCAGCTGAGACAGGAGCCCACCCAGAGCCACACATCAGCGGAGCAATCCTGGCCTGGTGGTCAGACCTAAAACATTTTAGAGGGGACCAAAGCAAAAACATCAGACCAAACAGAAATCTTTTTAAAAGTGCTGTGGGGGGGGGGGTCCTTTGGCCAGGGGGCGGCCAGCCCTCAGAAGGCTCTCCCACCTTCAGCCAGTCCTGCTGTCTGTCCTGCTCACACGGGAATGCTGCCTCCTGCCTCCTGCTGCCTCATGCCTCTGCTGCCTCATGCCTCCTGCCTCCTGCTGCCTCATGCCTCCTCCTGCCTCATGCCTCCTGCTGCCTCATGCCTCTGCTGCCTCATGCCTCTGCTGCCTCATGCCTCTGC